AGTTACAAGTCTTTCAATAATCTATAGGTCCGTCAGGCGTTCTGAAATCTAACTTCGGCGCCGAACTAAAATAAGCAGCCCAGGCCTGTTCAGGTAAAGGGAATTTAGGGAGGAAGGCAGGAGCGAGGGTCTACTGAAACGGATAATTGCACACATAAAATATAGTATTGCTCAGTTAGGATCTCAGGAGTTAACTTGCACTCTGCAAAGAAGACACTACCCTGGTTATCTGACACTTTCATCTTTTAAACATTGCTAAAATGCAATGTACGCCTTGTACTGAAGCATAAAATTTATAAATAGCTTCAAGAAAGCCCATAAATTGTGAATCATCTTTTTGAATTTTTCAGAAAATAATGCGAAATGGAATGTACTTATTGCTCAGTATTAATGCTATGAAACGGCAGCACACAGCAGACAAGCGGTCGCAGAAATTTTAATTAGCAAATAAGCAAAGTTTCCCAGGTGCAAATCTGTAGATGGCAAAAACAGCAGGATTTATTGGATCCATGAAATTTCGGGAGAGCTCTTAAGCTGTCAAAACCTGACCTATGTGAACAGTTGGAGCATGTAGTTAACTTAGCTTTGCCGTGGTAACATCCGGCTTCCAGATTTACACAGTCCCCTGCCCACCTTTTCGCCTTAACTCCCTTTCCTCTGTTTCTCTTTCCACCTTGTTTTAACTCTCTTACTTTACTAATTAGCTTTCGTGACCATGCGCTATGACTTTTTGACCTTTCTCTACCAATTCAATTTTGGATTTTTCTCATTCGTTACTCTTATAATGCAATAAAGTGGACGCAGCTGAAGAGCTCTCCCGAAATTTCATGGATCCAATAAATTCTGCTGTTTTTGCCATCTACAAATTAGCAATAAACTCTGCTGTACTTGCGAACTTTTTTATCTATACCGAAAACCAAATACTGTACAATTCTTTAAAGGAAGATATGATTTCCACTGCCGATGTATTCATGGTAGTGATTTTGAGTTTGTTTCATCTACTTGAGCACACATCTGACGTTAAAGTCACTCAGTATTTTGC